GACATTGCTCCTGCAGGCACAGTCATCCCTGGGAGCCCGGCACCAGCCACCCTACAGCAGGATCAGCTGTCCCTTCCRTTTAAATTCACTCCACAAAACCACCTCAGCAAAACAGGGAACGTGGCCTCCTGCCTTGCACATGCCTGGAAAACGCCTGGCTCTCTCCAAATGCCACCGAGTGAGCAGGCTGATGACAAACCCCAGAAWTCTGTCCCCATGGCACTGCTGGGCTGAGGCAGCTCCCTCCTCCAGCCTGCTCTGACTCACAGCATCTGCAGCACACTGTGCCAGGCTGGGTTCAAAGGAGGGAACTTGCTCTTTAGCCCATGCCATGGGGTSCTCTSTGCATTAATAACCCTCACAGAGCARTTAMGTGCAGGGTGCTGCTGTGAGGAAATAATACTGGCAGTTTTTAGAGACCTTTGTGGCTTCAAACAGAAAACAGAGCTGGGAAGGGGTTTTTCCTCACTGTGCTTTCCTTGGTGCATCTGTTCTTTATGCAGTTCTTAAACTGAGAGCAGTTTYCAGCCAAAGGTTGTTTTACTGTCCCGTTTGCTGCCTTGGCTGCTGGGAGAGGCATCAGCAAGTCACACATTGATATTCCTCTGCACTGCTGGTGGGCTCAGTCATCAAAGGAAATGCATAATGCAGGAAGACTGATGACTTGAGATGGGCCTCATGAATCCATCTTGATTAAGTGGTCCACGAAGGATCTGCYTTGAAAAGAAAGTCCCTCCAGAAATGAGCCAGCTCCTGATTGATGCCCTGGACACAGTGAGGAGCTCGGTGAGCGGGCAGTGCAGGCAGTGTAGGGAAAACCTCATCCCTTTGTACACCACCCTTTACAAATCTGCCAGCATCACTGACTTCCCTGCACCTCTCCTTTCACCCTCATATTTCACTGCCTCACTGTCCTAGATCTCCACCTCCTCTCTGCACTCTGATGACACTTGTGGGACACTGTCCCAGCCCATGGGAATGCACCAGACATTGAGAGGCAGCCAGCCACTGCCCCACATCTCCAGATTCTCTTTGTATTTCACTGAGCTCATATTAATTGTTGCCCCTTCCCCTGCAGGTGCCTCCTGTGGAGCCTTTG